AGATATTGCTCTAAGCACTGAAATGCATCAGTGAATACCACAGATTAAAATCTTTGCTTTTGTAAAGCTTAAATTCTAGGTGGCAGGCACTGACAATATAACAACAAGCATAATAAATTATACATCATGTTAGATGATACTATATGCTTGGGTAAAAGGCTAGAAGGATGTCAAGTGTGTGAAGTGTTGGGAGATGTGGGTTCAAGTTTAACCGGCATAATCACTGAGAATGCAACAATGGAGCAATGACTGGAAGAAGGCAGGGACTGCAGCCACACAAATGTGTGGGAAAGGAGTGTTTTAGGCAGGAATGTGCCTGATACACTGGAGGACTAGGAAGAAGGCTGTTGTCACTGGAGTGGCATAAATGAAGGGGAAGGTAGTAGGAGATGAACTCAGAGGGCTAGATTGTGAAGTGTTTTCATCACTACTCTGAATAAAATGAAGGGACAATGGAGGTCTTTGAGGAGAGGAGTCATATTACCAAACATGTATTTTAAAAGAACACTCTAGCTGCTGTGTTTGGCATAAACAGAGTGGGGTAGGGGAAAGATAGAGGCAGGAAGATTAACTTGAAAGCTCTTCATATAATATAAGATAATGTGACATACCAGAGTGGCTATGTTAGAGGTGGTAAGAATTGGCCACATGTATATTTTTTAAATAATGGTGACAGAATCTCTTGAGGTACTCAATGTGTAGTGTCAGAGAAAGAGTAATCAACAATAACTTTGTTGTTGGCTTAAGCACCTAGAAGGATGGAGTTGTCTTTCACTGGGACAGGAGAAATGTCAAAGTAGAAGGTTTGATAATAAAATCAGCAGTGAAGTAGAATATGTTAAATAGGTGGTTAGTCATAGAAGTTTAAAATTCATGCAAAACATCCAGGCTGGAGATATAATGATGCTGGAGGAGTTTACCAAGAGAATGAGTGTGTATAGAAAAGAAAAGGAATTTAAGGGCTGAAAACTTGGGCACTGCAATAATGAAATTGTGGAAAAAATAAGATAAACAAAGAGAGACTGAAAAGACATGACGTAATGGAAAGCCAAGAAAACCAAGAAATGCAGTATGGTGGAAACCAAGCAAAGAAAGAGTATGGAAGAGGAGAAAGCTATCAACCCTGTCTAATGCTACACCTAGGTCAAATCAGATGAGGACAAACTTAACTGACAACTTTCATAGTGTAGATATTGCTGGTGGCTTTGATAGCACAATGCTAGCAGAGCAATAGAGATAAAAGCCAGATGAGAGCAGGTTGGAGAGGAGAGAAGTAGAGAAATCAAAGACAGCAAATGCCCAATTTTGAGATGTTCTGTTGTAAATGGAAGCAGAGAAACAACATAGTAGTCAAAGGAAGAAATGGAATCAAGTGAGTTTTAAGATGAGAGAAATCACAGCATGTTTGTATGCTGAAGGGAATGATCCAATATAGAGGGAAAAATTGCAGATGTAAGAGAGCAAGAAAGAAGGCTTACTGAAGCCATATCTTTATGTAGGGAAGAGGCAATGGGATCTAGTATACGTTTGGTGGGACTGGTCGGAGGAGCACAATTATTCCTCTATAGCAAGGGTTACCAAACTTTTTCTAGAAAGTGCCAAACAGTAAACTGTTAGGCTATACAGGCCAGGCCATATGAACTCTGTTGAAAGTACTCAACTATGGCTGGGCACAGTGGCTCACGCCTGTAATCCCAGCAATTTGGGAGGCCGAGGCAGGTGGATCACCTGAGATCAGGAGTTCGAGACCCAGCTATCCAATTATGGTGAAACCCTGTCTTCTCAAAAAATACAAAACTCTTAGGCCAGGCGTGTGGGGCGGTGATCTCATAGTTCCAGCTACTTGGATGCTGAGACCAAGAGAACCTGCCTTGGAATCTGGAGGCGAAAATTGGAGTGAGCCGAGGAATCATGCCACTGCAAACTCCAGCCTGGGCGAAGAGTGAGACTCCATCTCAAAAAAAAAAAAAAAAAATTGTAAAAAATGAGCATGGCTCTGTTCCAATAAAGCTTTACTTAAAAGAGAAATAGGCAGCGGGCCATATTTGGCCTGGGGGCTTTAGTTTTGCCAATCCCTACTCTATAGTAATAGGAGGGAATTCAGGTTTTCTGATTCCTATCCCAATATTCTATAACGTTTACAATCTTACTTAGTTTTTGCAAGAGCAATAAATAGTAGCTATTATTTACTTGAGGAAACTAAGGCCTCTAAGAATGTATATATTTTACTTAAGATTATGAAGCCAACATTTAATACAGCTATGTTTCTAAAACAAGTACTCTCATCAAACCATATCTTACTGATTCTGTTTTCAATAAAGAGCTGGGCGCCAATTCTTACATCTTGAAATCTTCTGGCTTCAACAGTTAAAGCAATACGGAATTCATTTTCTAAATCCATATACTGCTGGCTTAACACGTCAATTTTCTCTTGGTATTCTTTTATCACTTGCTCATGTTTTTTCTCTTCTTTGGCTATTTCTTTAGCTAAGGCATCCTGGAACTCAGTATCAGTAAAAAACTCCCTTGTTTCAAGTTCCTTCCTGGAGGGAAAAACATATAAAGATAAAAGGATGATACTCACCTGAAAAGAAACATTGTAAAGGTCTTCACATAGTTCTTAATATTCTATATTCGCTATTGTTAATTCAATATCGGCCTCTCGCTTTCAAACACAGTAATTGGGCACAGATAGGTACAAATAATATGAGTTTTATTTGATTGTGTATTTAATAGTGATGGGGATAAGGGAAATATATCAAATCTTAACTTCATGAGATAGTTCAGAATCATTCTATGGCTTCAGAAATTCTTCAGGTGCATTTGCATAAGATATTTCACTGTATCTACTACTTTGGCCAAGTGTTTGACTTGCAATAAATACAGTCTGATTAACACTGGTGGTTTGTTAATAGAAAAAGTCAGTTAAAGTATAAAATTATTTACTAATCTTTTGATATTGGGCCAGTTAGTCCATTCTTTACAGTTCTCCACTACTTTTCTTGCATTACTGAAACCCATAATGTGAAACCCATCATTTCCAGGTTTTGGTTTCTTTAAACTGGAATGAAACTAAGTAAAGCAAACTAAGTATAAAACTCCTGTATAGGAAACTAAGTACAAAATTCTAGATTTTTGTGATTATTTTCCCCCAATCTTTTATAGTTGTCTCTTCTACACATGATAACAATTTCCCCCAGAGCACCAAAATTTATGTAGATACAAAACAAAACAGGTTTGGGAATAAATACAATTAACATATGATAATCATACAATTTCACTGGTAGGATAGTACATAAATAACTGAAATAGATAAGGTGAAAATGTTCAAATTACTGCGGATTCTATAGAGCAAGAGTTGACAAACTACAGCCCATCAGCCAAATGTGACCTACAGCCTTTTTCTTTGTAAATAAACTTTTAATGTAACATAGCCATGCTGTTCATTTTATGTATTATCTATGGCTACTTTTGTGCTACAAAGGCAAAGTTAGGTATGGCCTACAGAGCCTGAAATATTTTCTATGTGACCCTTTACAGAAAAATTTCACTGACCTCTCCTTCAGAAGAATAAAGAATACTGATTAATTTACTGATTAATTTACTAATTAATTAACTTGGAGGTCAATTAAAAATTTTCTCTCTATAAAGACCAACTTTTGGCTGGGTTTGGAGAAATGAAAAATAAGCTATATTGTTATAAACCTATACCTCAAATACTGATAACAAAGGCACCTATTCATTTTTTAGCTACTAGTTCTTGCTATAGGGCTGATTCTAATGTACACATACATGAATATGGCATTTTCCAATAACTGATTCTGTCAGACTATACCAATGCTCAGTCACTATCTTTAAATACTGGTGGTGGGGAACCAGTAGCTTTTTCTATTTTTAAATGCCACATTTTTCATTTACCTGTGTTCCTGTTCTTTCAATGCAAGAAGTTCATGAAGTTGTTGCACTTGTTCTCTTTCTCGATGAAGGGAAGTTCTAAGTAAGTATATTTCTCTATCAGCAGCTGAAGCTTTGAGTTCCACCTCTTGGATCAGTCTTATCTGAGTAAAATGCACACAATTACAGTATTTAGATAATAATCTCCTCTGCTATTTTAATGTCAATTTCCATAAGTACCTTTTAAATGACAGTGTCTGGTGACTAAGTTGATTTTCAAAATTTAGGAAATTAATGATGTTTCAGTCATACAAAGTGCAGCCTTGGAAGGAACAAATACACTAGCATTAACTATTGCTTATTTGCATCACAGATTTTAATAATTTCCATTCAGAAGTATGAAAATGAAATTCCTTCAACCACCTGAAAGCCTTTTTAAAAGCCAGCTCTCTCAGAATAAAAGCCTAACTACCTGCAACATTTCTATCAACTTTTCTTTTTAACTGCTTTAAGAGCTAGTAGTGTTAATTTAGACATAATTCAACAGGCTTTGTGACTGTTAAATTAACAGCAATTTAATTTTTGCATATAGCCTCACATCTTTTTTTTTTTTTGGCTTATTTCCAATTTTATTTTTCCAATAATAAAAGGGCTTTCATTGTTGTTAACATCTAAAGTTCATTCAAGAAGATACCTACTATGACAGATATTTTTTTAAAAAAAGAAAAAACATACTAGCTAATTAGCTAAGAAAGAAGCTTTGCATTTTGTGACAGAAGCTTCTTCCGTTCAGCCTCACATCTTTTAGGTTTTCTAGGTGGTATAATTTGTTTCACAATAGAAGCTATGAATTTGTGTTAATCTATGCCACTCATACACTAAATAGAGAAATACCTGTGCCGCCTGCTGCTGCCTTTTTTGTCTCTCCATTTTTTCTAACGATTTTTCCAGGGTTCTTAAGTGTTTAAGGTGATCCTCTTGTTGATCTTTTGCTTTCATTAGTTCAACAGTCAGTTTTTTAATTTCATTTTGAAGTTTGTGAACCATAACTTCGAGTTGTCCTTTGGAATTTCTCTCTCTAAAAATAATTTCCTTTAGCCTAAAGCAGAAGTTATATGTGGTGTTAAGTATATACACATATAAAAATGATAAAACGGTAATAAGTGTTCAAACTTAGAGAAGATCTGAAGTATGTTTCAAATTCTAATTACAGTAAAAACTGGCAGAAAAATAGTGCGTCTTTCCCCTACTCCTGAACCTAACATTATGATCAAAAGGAAAATATTTTATATAAATTACTATTCCACAGCAGAACTTTACTAAACAATTTGTTTCAGGCATTATACTAGATATGGACTTAAAGGCAAGCAAGATGAATAAGATGGAGTTTTCTCTGCCTTCGAGGAACCCAGCATCTCACAGAAGGAATAGACATGATAGATTTATAAAGCGATGTGACAGATGTGCTACATAAATAGCAACCTGTAAGTCAACTTGGACTCCTTGTATCTAACCCAGACACCCAATATTGCTCCCAGATTTGTGCTGGTTAGAACCCTTTCATTACAACTGAAAACTCTTAATCAGTTTCAATAAAAGAGAGAATTTACTGACCTGCATAAGCAAACATAGAGAAGGATGTGGTGGCACTATGCTGAGGGACCACTGAAACCAAGAACATAACACAATCCTAGAATCTGGCTTCAAAAGCAGACTCTAGGAAATCAGATATAGGTGGTCTGCATGGTGTCATGCCAGAATCTTTATGTTTGGGGTAAGGGTACAGGAGGGAGACTATGAACATCTCTGGGATCATATTCTAATAGCCCTGAACCAAACAGGAAAGAGTATCTTTCTCTAGCTCAATTTAGAATGAGTCCTAGGCAAGGCTCTGATTAGTCCAATTGGATTCATATGTCCACCCCATGAACCAATCACTGTGGCCATAGGATATAGGATGTTTACCCAGCTTAGGCCAAGTGCTCACCCCTTACTACAAACAGGTGGTTGAGATGACAGACTATAAGTCTATTGTTTGGAAACGGGACACTGACAAAGACGCAGCCTCATGAAGAAATTACTGAGTCATGCAGCCAACCCAGTGTAATTTCCAAGGCATATTTAAAAAAATATATCCATCAACTTCTACATTATGGTCATTTCTCCAGTTCTTGTCCTTATCATCTTTCTTCTTGACTTCAATGAGAGTATTCTCCGAACTGGTCTTCCTTTGTTCATGCTCTCAACTCCAGTTTGGTATGCTATATGAAAGAGTGTTAGACTGCATATGGGTTGCGGGCAGGGAAGCCACTGAGAAGTAGAAATGGAACAATCATCTAAGCAACAGATAAGGGCCTAAAGAAAGGTAACAGGTTTGGGATACAGAAGAGATAGTTCAACATCTTTTTTTTTTTTTTTTTTGAGACGGAGTCTCGCTCTGTCACCCAGGCTGGAGTGCAGTGGCCGGATCTCAGCTCACTGCAAGCTGCGCCTCCCGGGTTCATGCCATTCTCCTGCCTCAGCCTCCCGAGTAGCTGGGACTACAGGCGCCCGCCACCTCACCCGGCTAAGTTTTTTTGTATTTTTAGTAGAGACGGGGTTTCACTGTGTTAGCCAGGATGGTCTCGATCTCCTGACCTCGTGATCCGCCCGTCTCGGCCTCCCAAAGTGCTGGGATTACAGGCTTGAGCCACCGCGCCCGGCCAACATCTTTTAAGATGATATCAGTATCAATTGATGAATAAAGATATCAATAAAGATGATAATATCAACTGGCTGTGGGATAGGAGAAAGAGAAAGGAAGCAAAAAAAAAAAAAAAAAAAGATTCCTAGATTTCTATAGTTTCAGTGACCGACTGGATGCTGGATGGGGCACCATTTATTAGGGCAAGAAATATATAATAAGGAAGAAGAATGAGTCCACCTGAGGCCATGCTGATCTTAAGAAACTTATGAGGAATACAGACAAGCCATTTTTAGTAGATAATTGGATGAACAGATCTGGTCATCAAGGAGGTTTGGATAATAAAAATACCAAAGTAGATAAGATTCATTTTTTTGAAATTGTATGGCACCCACATGCCAGACCCTTTATTAGGGATACTGATTCCCTACCAAGGCATATAAGGGAATAGGAAGATTAGTAAGGATCTAATCTCAAACAAACATGTGGTAGTGGTGGGGGTGGGGGGTGGTGTAGATTGAAGAATCAGAAAAGATTGATTTTTCATGAAAAAAATGAATACATAACTTGGGAAACACAGGCACAACAATAGTTAAGTAAGAAGAAAGATAAAGTGTGCCCAAAGTCTTCCAGTTTAAATGGACTGGCTAGCAGCCCTAGACACAGCTTCCTCTAATATCCTGCTAAATACTTAGAATACAGAATAAAGTAAAAATTCATACACATATAACTGAAAACAAAAGATAACAGAGTGCCAAAATTTGGGAATAATTTCAATTATAAGGCAAATGGAACTAAATTGAAATTAAAAACAACTCCTACAACACTCAGGCTTTGCCTCATGAAACTGCTCCATTCTGAAAAAAGGAAGACAGATCTTTTCTCTTCTACTGTCTGTCCATGACTCAGTCACAGGGTCTCTATAAATCTGTCACTACATAATGTTGGTTACTTATCCACTTACTGAAAGCAGGAGTGCTGTTTTTCTGAGGTAGAGCACTCTAACCGAACCATCCTGTTCCCTCATCATAACCAGTGGCTTCTTGTGTCAATTCAGACAGACATTTGTAAAATACAAACAAGGCAGGAAGTTGGTGGGTAGTGGTAGAAGGGCTAACAATAACATTATGCATCATAGCTTTATAATTATAGAGGTTTAATAGCATGCATGTTGCATATCAGAATTGTCTTTATACTCGTCAGGTACAACATATCAGAGAAACATGCAGTGGGGTAGAAAACACCATGTCAGTATCACAAAAGTGCTTAAAAAAAACTGGGAACTGGGCTGTGAACTGTGTACATCAACTTATCCAAATGAGATTTTAGAAGGGGAATTATCCACTGCACAATCAGACAGGAAATGGAACCAGGAGCAACTTCCCAAAGTCTGTTAGCAAATGTCAAGTCTAGAAACCTAGTGCTCATTCAAGGATAAGAAACCATAAGAAACTCTAAAAATCTTATAATCATTTGAGGAAAAGCATAACATTAGAAATAATTACAGGAAACAGAAGAAAAAAAGTTATTGTAATTTCAAAAACTAGTATTTTCACAGAATGAAATGACAGACCTGTATTAAAGAATGCAATACAACAAAACAAAACAAAACAAAAAACCACCCAGATAAAATGGGAGACGTAATGGTGAGGATAGAATAAAAACATTAGATTAAGAAACTGGGCTATATGATACCAAAGCTCCCTGCAGAAGATGAGTATGTGATGAAATCAAACATGACCCAAGAAGCTGAAAGAAAAAGGCTGCCAATGCCTGCCCTTTACAGAATCTGGCACTTTATATAAAAAGTTGTTAATCACTGCTCTAGTCTCTTGCTGTTCTTTACTTATAATATTTACCCGACACCTTCCTGCTTGAGGGCTCAAATACATGTATCTGAATTTCTTGTTGATATAACAAACTATTAAAGTGCTAAATTATCTAATACAATTAGTTCAAATCAAACTAAAACCACATACATTGTTGTTGATTGAACTACACTGAAACTAAGGAATTAAATTTCTAAAGTCAGTATTCTTTATGCTATGAGGTATCTTCAGGTTTATTAATTTTTTTACCTATCTGTGGTAAGTAAAGCCAGACTATGAATATCATCTTTTTCATTTGCATGTTTATGCAGCTCATCGATATAATCCATGAGTTTATTTTCGGCTTGCTCAGCTCTCCATCTCTTCTCTCTCTCTTGGTCTAGCTGTTCAACAAGGGACTGAAAAAAAACAACAAAGTTATGTGAACTATAAAAGTTACCTAACTTCTCACAGCCTCAATTTTCCCATTTATAACAGGGGAATAATAGTACCTACTTCAAAGAGCTGTGGTGAAACTTTTTATTTTATTTTTTTGAGTCTCATTCTGTCACCCAGGCTGGAGTGGAGGGGCATGATCTCAGCTCACTGCAAACTCTGCCTCCTGGGTTCCAGCGATTCTTCTGCCTCAGCTTCCTGAGTAGCTGGGACCACAGGCATGTCCCACCACGCTTGGCTGTTTTTTGTATTTTTAGTAGAGACGGGGTTTCACCACGTTGGTCAGGCTGGTCTCGAACTCCTGACCTCAAGTGATCCACCCACCTTGGCCTCCCAAAGTGTTGGGATTACAGGCGTGAGCCACTGCGCCTGGCCAAAAATTAAGTTAATGGTAGCAAAGCATATAGATAAGTGCAGAACAGTGCCTGCTACATAATAACCAATCAATAAATGTTAGCTGCCATTATTATGCCACAGTAGATAAGATTCGTTTTTTGAAATAGTATATACTCATAGCATGGCACCCACATGCCAGAACCTGTATTAAGGATACAGAGTCCTTACCAAGGCACGCAAGGAATATGAAGATTGGTAAGGATCTAATCTCAAACAAACTTGGGGGGGTAGAATCAGACAAGATTGATTTTTCATGAGAAAAATGAATATATAACTTGGGAAACACAGGCACAATAGGTTAAGTAAGAAGAAAGATGAAGTGTGTCCAAAGTCATAATGATAATTATTATTTTTCAATATTAAAGCCTCTATAGTTGAGAATAAGGGGAGGAAACCAGTAGCCTAAAATGTACCAATTCTATTACTGAAAGAACAATACACAAGTAATATAAGGGGAAGTTAATGAAAAATATAAAATAATGAATCCACAAGTACTGAAGTTTCTCAACATGAGAACTGTCAAGAAAATTTTGAAGAATTAAAAAATTTTTGAACACCTCTTAATCTGGGATCCAGTGGTCCAAAATTGAGTTTCAGGAAAGTCCATGAAAACCTTGAAATTATATACATTTGCTTTGACTGTAAAAATAGGCTTCTTTGAGAAGACCTGTGGAGATTTTTAGATACTGAAAAGGGTCTGACACCCCAAAAAAGTAGGAAGCACTACATTAAGGAATAAGAATTTAAATATTCATAACTGTTTCTTCCTCCAGAAGCATATAACAAATGATTTCACTTAAATCTGATCATAAAAAAATGAAATTTTCATTCATTCAAAAATAACATTACATAAAATCTGGAAATCAGGAAGGAAAAAATAACCAATTTTCATCACTCCAATAAAATTCAAACACTTTTTGCTAATAAAAGCATGCATAATTTTTCTGGGACTCTGTATTTAAAATTATTCATACTACTTTTTCTTAATTTCTTAAATCATACCTGGTAAGTGTTGTCTTCTGAGTGACTTTTGTCTACTTTAATTATTTCAGTCTTTGGCTTTTCTGATTCTTGTAACATAGGACAGTTCGCTAAAGATGAGCTTACATATAATTCTTTAAGGTAAGGTGGTTTCATTTTACGATTACAACTGTAAAGAATAAAACATAGCAAATCACTCAAAAAAGTGTGTTCACATTACTTTTCTCTAACATTAACATTTCTAGTTGTATATGCAAACAGCTTTTTAAAAAGAATATTAATAAAATTATAGTAACTTGGACAAACTGCTTTATAGATTTTATAATGAGTGTGCTCTGTTGATTAATGAGTGCCTCAAGATTTTAAAAAAGATAATGATTTCATAAATGTTCAGGGTTCAACATTTTCAGGTAGGGTAGAATTCTTGGATATATCAGAATAATTTAAAAAGTACTATGGTAAGGTGATACCTAAGAACTCGAAAAGACAGTAAACAGAACTACTCTTTGGGAGTTAAAAGTTTAAAATCGACACATAATGGATCAAAGTTAATAGATTCTATCACTTGGTAGGACCAAAGAAATTCCAGGGTACGTCCTGGAAAAAAGTACAGTGTTTGAAGTGAACTGAATGCCTCTGTGTGTGTGTGTGTATATAAATATATATGTACATGTAAAATGTAATTGGGTAGGTATGGAAGAATTAAACAACAAAACAACAAAATATGCTTTGCAAAAGGAGAATTACAGAAGCAAAAGTTTACTGTAACCATCCCAGAGTAGTCATTTCTGAACCACTTGTCATGGTGATCCCAATTACGAAAGTACAGACATCGGTTTCCCTTGTCCTTATGGCATTAAACACAATCATCTTATTCACATTTAATCCTAAACTCAGTGTCATCTGACTAGGACTTGGCTTTCCATCTAGATCTGCCTACAAAGAGAGAAAAGGCTAGTCATGTAGACTCGAGTGTACCAGTCTTATTTCCCACTGTAAATGAATGAAACTAAAACCACATACATTCTTTCTGATTGAACTAAACCTAGATTAAACGAAGGTATTCCAGTTCTAAGGTCAGTATTCTTTATGCTATGAGATATCTTCAGGTTTATACATTAATTTTGCAACTAAGGTACAGACACAGAGAAAAGGATCCTTTTATATACATTTACATGAATGTACTGACCAGATCAGAACCTACAAGGCTGAAAAATCAAATCTTCAACATTAGTAAAGTAATAAATATCACCATGAGATAGCTTCGAGAAGCCAGCATTATTAACTTCTGTGTGCCTTAAATTTCTAAAACTAAAACAAGTACCTTACAAAAGAGTTGCAGTTTTTATTGTGGTGCTTAATAGTTTGAATGGTTTTGGCATAATACGGGATTTTTGATCTTCGAGGAACTTTTTTATTGCATTCTTTTCTGTTTCCATAGTCACTTTCAGAAGTTATATCTGTGTCTCTTTTTGGTCTGGGGTCTTTCTCAGGAACATTATCTATTGAATTACAAGTCTAGAATTTAAAAAGCCAACAAAGTTTGTTAAAAGTTCCGTATAACAAAGATTGAAATTGGAAATTTTCTGAAATATTATGACTTTTTATATGATTAAGGGTTTATAAACTAGAAATGTTTGACATTAAAGACAGGGAATTAAGCTTCTGGTATGGACAAGTAGGCATCTACCATGTTGACTTTCCTGCAGATAACAATTATAAACTCTGGAAAAAATACAAACAAAACAAAACAAAAATAAAAACTACTTGAAGGCCTTAGAAAGTGAACAAAAGTAGGATTATTCTAGAGGGGAGGTGACACTTGGAAAATGGACCAGAATGAGGGTGTTTCTGTTTTTTATGGTTTTTAGCCTGAGAATGTACCACAATCAGTATCATGCAGAGAGTCTAAACCTCAGGTAGGAAAAACCAGACTTCTGGGCCTAAGGAACCAGAGGGCAGTATGAAGTGGACTGCAAGTGGCCCAGCAAAGAATGAAATAAATGAAATGAACTTTGAACTGCTACCTAAGATAAAAACATACAATCTGAGTCAAACCAAGTTAAATGCTTACTAAAAACAAAAATGCCAACACTCTTTGGAGGACTATAACCAAATCTAGAGTATCCACAACAAAACATTCACGATGTCCAGGATGCACTTCAAAATTGCTCGCCATAGGAAGAACCAGGAAAATGACCTATTCTCAAGAGAAAATGGAGACCAAACCTGAGATGACTCAACGTTTGAATAAGCAAACAAGAACTTTAAAATAGTGATCAAATAGTGATGTTCAGTGAGATAATAAGAAATACGCCTGTCATAAACAAAAAGACAAGAAAACTCAGCGCAGAAGTAGAACTATAAAAAATAGAAATTCTATAACTGAAAAATACAATGTCTGAAGTAGAAACTGACTGAGATTAATAGCAGAATGAGACAATAAAGAAAGAGTACACGAACCTGAAGCTAGCTCAATGGAAGTTATTCGATATGAAGAATACAGAAAAACAAATGTTGACAAAATGTACAGAGCCTTGGGGAATTTTGAGGCAATATCAAAAAGTCTA